GGACCACTGCTGACTGGATAGACAGTGGCACGGCGGGTACGGGGCCACTGCTCACTGGATAGGCAGTGGCGGTCTCCTGGGGGCTGGCAGTGGGCATCTTCAGCACTGTCCCCACACCTCGGCGGTTCCAAGGAGCTGATGTGACTCGCTAGAATGCGCGCCCGGATTTTCCAATGTTTTCTTCACTGTTTGTTCCAAGTCCCTAACACAGTGCCTGGCACGAGGCCGGCCCTCGGATCGCTGCCGAACGGTGAAAACACACACGAAACTCAGAGGGCGCCTGAGCTCAGCCACGGCGACCAGCCTGATGGCCGTCTACAGGGGTCTGTGAGGCGGGTGCCAGGCTGGCACCGGCGGTTGCTCAGTGGGGCTCGGCAGGGCAGGCAAGGTTGACCAGTTGCTCTGACAGATGTGCCCATGAGGGCAGCAGCTGCCCAGAAACGACTCCGCTCCAAGCACCCGGCATCACAGCCCCGGCTCCTGCTGCCACTCGTTCAGAGTGCCCGAGCTGCTACGTCCTGGGGACTGGGAACAAGGAGCGTGACAGGTGAGGGTCACATCCCGGCAGGGAGAGGCCCGGAGAGGAAGAGACAAGGCCGTGCCATGCCTGATTCAGACCAGGGCACAGAAGCCATGCCTGCAGGGAGGGGACAGGGGGGTGTTTGCTAACGTAGATCCAGGGAGGAGAGGCACCTCCTGGAGAACCGGGAGAGCCCCCACAGTGGACAGCGAGAGCAGGAGGGGATAGAGACCAAGGCTCCTGGGTGGGGATGAGCCACCTCCCTCCTACCCCTCCCCCACTGACTCAGCCCCAGGAAAAGCGTGGTGTTCCTCAAACCCCATATGCAATAGAACCCCTTCTTGTGGGCAACATTTCCAGGGACCAGGGTCTTGGGAACAAGCTCTGATCTGAGCAAAAGCACTAATGAGTTGAAGACCTTTTTTTTCTTTTTTTTCTTTTTCTTTTTAGAAGTTTTTGCTATAGGGCGCATGCGCTTGCCAGACAGACAGAGAGAGACAGAGAGACAGAAAGCGAGAAATCACCCCCCAGGGGGGATGGTCACGCTGCAATCCCTTCTCCTCCATTCTCCTCTCGGGATCTTGGGCATGCACGCACACGCGCCCGGCGTGAGTTTTAAGCCACCGGGTCCGGGACGCGAACCGCGGTTGACTACGTGGGAGTTCAGTGACATAGCCATTACACTAACTGCTGGTCCTGAGTTGAAGACCTTTGTCATCAACCCAGACTCCAGCAATGCCACATCCACCCCTGGGCAGATGCAGCCAATACCTCCTCCATGACCAGCACACCAGCTCTACCAAGTCACCTCCCGACCACCCCTGTGCCTGGCCTGGGGGTGTTCTCAAGGACCAAGGTCATATAGGCATCACCACTGCCTTCCTGCAACCTCTGATTATACCCATCTGTTCTCTGACACTATGTAAGGGTTGGTTGGCTCTGTCCCTCATCACGCCCAAGCCAGAGTCAGGGAGGTGCTGGACGGAGCCTCTACCCTCACCCGGGCAGCACCAGGGAGGATCCTGACCACATCGAAGACTGCCCAAGTGGCAGGAGGGCAGAAAACCATACTCAGCTCTAGGAAGTAGCCCTCACGTCAGCTCTGGGAAACACCAGAAACAGGCCATGAGCGGAGGTGGGAGACAGCCGGCAAGCCCGCCCGTGCAGGGCCCACAGTTTCATCCAGCTAAGGGCTCAGCTCGGCCACAGCAGAGCGACGGAGGAGCGGAGAGGCTGCACTGGCTCCAAGAACGCCTGATTTACAGAGACGGGGCAGGTGGAGGGCTGGAGCTCCCCGACACCCCGCAGGCTGACCTCTGCTCTCCAACTGGAGGCTGGCCTGTCAGAGAGCTACGCGAGAAGAGGGCCGGCAATTTTATTTATTTATTTTTAGGTGTTCGCCATAGGGCATGTACATTCTTCAGAGAGACAGAGAGAGAAGGTGAGAAATCCCCACCACCACCACCACCCTAGGGGATGACCACGCTGCAATCCCTTCTCTTCCATTCTCCTCTCAGGATTTTGGATACACACACACATGGGCCCAGTGTGATTTTCAAACCATCACGTCCAGGACTCGAACCGTGGTGGGCCATGTGGGAATCCAGCACTTAACCACCATGTCTTGCTGGCCCTGAGCGCTGGCAATTTTAAAGTTGCCTCCAGAGCAAAGTGGCCACTTCAGTACCATCCCAGGGTCACATATGCACCGGGCGGCCCAACCTGAGGTGCAGGCTGCCCCATCTCTTCTCATGTAAGAGAATCCTTTGAGAATTTAGAAACTTGGCCAGTGGCATGTCCCCAAGTCTTCAAATACCTCATGGAAAATGTGTATTGTGAAAAAACTAGGCATAAATTTTCTTTAAGAGGTTTCTGCTATAGGGCACATGCACTCACCAGAAAGACAGAGATAGAGAGACAGAAAGCGAGAAATCATCCCCCGGGGGGGATAGCCACACCGCAATCCCTTCTCCTCCATTCTCCTCCTGGGATCTTGGACATGCACGCACACACACCTGGCGTGAGTTTAAACTACCGGGTCCGGGACTCGAACCACGGTCAGCTACATGGGAGTTTAGCGACAGAGCCATTATGCTAACTGCTGGTCCCGAGATTTCACACTTTTTTGCACCAGGATAAATTCGTACTTTAATTCCACTTTTCCATTAACCTTTGTTTTTAAAGAATTATTTCATTTAATTAATTTATTTAAATTTTACCAGAGAGGGACAGAGTGAGAGAAAAAGAGAGAAAGTGAGAAAGCAAGCTGCCAGGTCCAGGACTCGAACCATGGTCAGCCACAGTGGGAGCCCAGTGCCCCTAGCCACCAGGCCACCTGCAGTAATTCAGCCATGGCCCCTGCACAGACACACCTTGCCTCGGAGCAGGTTTAACGGCTAGCAGCCCCAGTCAGAGTGCACAGGAGGAATCCACACCGCAGGCCAGGGAATCAGGACTGTCCTCTGACCCACAGGACCGGCAGCCCTGCCTCACCTCTAGCACCTGGTACTAAAAAACACCAACATCACCCGATCACCAGCAACGACAATAGTTCAGACCCAAGAGGGGGGCGCCTCAGGGCACAGGCTGCACACTAGGGGAGCCTGGGAGAAGTCACTGCTGACGCCCTGCCTGTGCTCCAGGCACCCAAGGGACAGCAGAGCCAGCACATCCCTCCCACAGTCACCAGATGGCACCCCACGAGTATCAGGGTGCTGGGGCTCATTCTCCCTGGCAGGCTGGGCTCCCAGACCTGCAGGCGTCTCAGCTCCGGGGCTGGTTTGGAATCCAGGGAAGAAAGATTAGAGCCACACCCAGAGAAATCTGGCCTGGCCACTTCCTAACCCTCTTGCCCTCTCCGCCAGGCACACGCAGAGGGCTTCTGTCCCACGGTCAGTCAGTCAGTCACCTGTGACCAGAACTGCAGGAGGTCCCATCCCTGCCTCTACAGAGACCCAGGGCTTGGGCCACTCCCTTTTCTGCTATTCCTCCCGCCGCCCCACCCCCAGGCTGCCTCCTCCCTCTACTGCAGCGCCACTAGCTGCCACTTGCTGTCCCTCTCTGGTTCTCAGATGCTGAGGCTCCCCACGGGGCCTCTGCCCTCCCCTCCTACCCACTGTGACCTCACTGAAGCCACCGTGAGGCTCAAGCTGCCTCCAGCCTCCTGGTCCGGAAGCCCAGTCTCACCTGATAATCAATACTAACAGAACCTTCCAGATGCTCAGTGGCAACAACTGGAGGCTTGCAAACTATTCCCAGAAATACCTTGAAACAGCTGTTATCTCTACTATCCCCCGAGTGGCGGTGGCCACGGCGAGGTGGTGCTTTTTATTTCTCCAAAGCGCTCAGGTTTTTCGAAGTTACCCGGGTAAAGTCGGGCGCTTGAGCGGCTTCCCGTTCCCGCTCCCCGCCCACGACACAGTCTGTGGCGGCCTGTGGTCGCAGGTTCCGAAACTGTGGGTTCCCAGGTTACCAGCCCGGCTCTTCCATTTTCAGTTCTAGGCAATTATTTCGTATTCCCGCAAGTGGCATGTATTTTCCGAATTAAACATGATCTTTGTTTTGAGCTGGTAATAATTGACAAGTGGGAAATTCACGAGGTTCTAAATGGAATGCAGGAAACGGCTCCCTTCCCCGACTTTCCTCTCCATAGGCGATGCTCGGGAGGCGCCGCTTTACACTTGCAAACTCTCTCAAGGTCCCGAGATGGGCCGAGGACGCCGCGCGGCCCAGCCCGCCCCAAGCCCGCCGGCCCGCCCGCGCACCTGCTCGTGGCGCGCCAGCAGCGCCG